TATATTTCTTTTTTTTTTTTACCTTTTTTGTTCATTTTTTAGAATTAATTGCTCTGTAGAAGCACTTAGATAGTAGTCAGCCATATTGAGAGTATAATAATGATATATGGATAAAAACATATATAAAAGTATATATATATATAATGGAAGACATATATGTATATATATATATATAAAATATATATATATTTTAAATGGTATAGTTGGGAATATTACTGTTTCGAGAGATAACCTGATGAAGAGAGAAACGTATATTTCGAAGGGGCGCGAGCCCGGAGAAAGTATGACAGAGAGGTGATGTTAAGGGTAGTGGAGATGGTTCATCGGAGATTGATGGAGGTGTTGATGGATATAGGTTGAAGATGAGAAATAAGCTGTAACTGTGACTATGCGGATCGTGGGGGGCAGGCTGTTGATACGTTTACTCGAGAGCTTAACCGGGGGATTAATTTAGGCACTACTTACTTTTGAACAACGTAGGAAAACACGAGAAAAGCGGTCTTCTCGAGGATCTTCTTGCGTTTAGGGGACAAGTCCATAATATACATTCGCAATTCGCAATACGCTCAAATATGAAGTCTGATTAAAAAAAAAAAAAAAAAAAAAGACCAGCAGTAGATGCAGCCCGCCCATCCGAGATCCCCGCGCGTCAAAGCGTCACTGTGATCTCGTAATTAATAAAATATCCGATTATTGTAAAAAATAATCATACTATGATATATCCTTCCCCTCCCCCCCCCTCCTCTTTTCCGTGAACAAGAGAAAAATCCTAAAGACATGATCTAATTATCTCGTATTTTCGCAACTATAACCTTAGTTGCATCTCTCATTGCATTTCTTCGTCCCACCTTGTTCTGTTTTTTTTATTTTTCTTCTTTTTCTTAATTTTTATATAACGCGTTCGCGCGTACGTTAGTTTGTAAAAGTACCGTTATAAGATGTATCTTAATAAATCTTTCATATGATCTCGCGGAGGTATCAATTGTTAGGCGAATTCAGCAGCCGACGCCGTTCGTTTCTGCCCGTCCGCGTGCTAGAAACCTATTTCTCTATCTTTCTCTCTCTCTCACACACACACACACACACACACACACACACATTTCGTTTTCGAATTTTTTTCTCTCTCAATATGGTTCATCAAAACGAACGGCATCGGAGCTCGATTGGCCGTACCTCAATTAGTTAAAAATAGAGTTAGTGATTAAAGAGAGATAAACATTATATTCAACGCGAGGGAAGACGACGAGGGATAACGACGTTGTTGTAGCGATCTTATTCGGATAGGTTTATAACAACGAAAACTGTCTATCGCTGCGTTCGCACTCAGTAATCATCTATATAGTACGATCACTGATTATTATTCTTATTGATTATTATTATTATTTCTATTATTATACTCGTCACAAAACGCGTAAAAGCTCGAGGTCTCAAACTTCTCGGCGCTGTAAAGAAATAATCGACTAGTCTTATCGGACCAACCATTGAGATTCGTGTATTTTTGTTTAACGCATATTTTCTAAGATTGAGATTTTCCCCTCTACAT